AGTTAGAAAATGATAGCATAATACACCGTGTCTGTCTCTAAGTTTCAACTGAAATAGGAGTCTTCAAAACAACTTCTGAACCAAACATTTCTTCTTGAAATAATGGAGGGAAGTGGTGGTTTTAACTTAATATTTAATTGCCAAGGATAAACGATAAAAACCACCTCATTCATCACCCCATTCATCACTCCGATTCATCCACTCTCTATGCGCTCACCCTGCATTATTTTCCTCCATAGTACTTAGTACCATCACATGTCACAAATTCACTTATCATGTTCTGCCTTTTCCAGCAGAATGCCAGCTCTGAAGAGCCAGGGCTTTGTCTTGTCCACCCATGTGTTCTAGTGCCTAGAACAATATTTATTATAATATTTCATAGGCTTGCAGTACATTTTTGCTGAATAAAATAATCTCTGTAGTGATTATCTATATAATATTTGATAAAAATGAGTTTATCCTTATTATTTTGAAGGTGTGGGCTTATAGAGAAAAATAAAATTCTACATATAATCTAGTGTAGCTTTGAAAATTTTACTTCAAAATAAGAGTGGAGAAATAAAAAGATGTGTACTCGCTGCTAAACACACCCTAACCTTAATATAATGAAATGCCTCTGCTCTTGGAAACCAAAAACTATATGCTTTGAATACATCACTAATGTAAATAAATCTTTCTGCCCAAACTTAGGCATCTTTGCTATTAACAAAAAATAATTCATTTTCCAAGTAAAATTTAATGCTATATTCTGTACTATTGACACTATTTTCAGAAAATAAAGCTAAGTTAAATATGCTCTCCAGCATTTTATATTCAAAATTTCATGATGCTATTTACATTTTATGGATTTATTTATTTATTTAGAGACAGAGTTTCACTTTTGTCCAGGTTGGAGTGCAATGGCATGATCTCCACTCACTGCAACCTCCACCTCCTGGGTTCAAGCAATTCTCCTGCCTTATCCTCCCTAGTGGCTAGGAATACAGGTGCACACCACCACGCCTGGCTAAAATTTTTTGTATTTTTTTTTTAGTAAAGGCAGGGTTTCAGCTTGTTGGCCAAGCTGGTCTCAAACTCCTGACCTTGGGTGAACCACCCATGTTGGCCTCCCAAAGTGCTGGGATTGTCAGGTGTGAGCCACTGCACCTGGCCTATGGATTTATTTATATGCAGTGTCCTTAAATATTTATGCAGCTTCCTACCAGAAATTTCCATTTCTCTAAATCCTGTTTATAGTCTCCACACACAAATCATTTATTATAGCTTAACCAACTCTACCAGGTAGAAATGATCTCTCTGCTTACAGAACCTCCTGCATACTTTCAATGAGTTTTTAAATACAATTAATTCGTATTAAATCATTTGGCACCTAAAGTGAAAACAACTGAAATAATTAGGAAAAACTATAAGTACATTTAAGAAGCAGGAACATAACTGCACTGGGAACCAGCCAAGGGAATCCCCAGTACCTCCCATGTGCCTTAATCTCTCAGTGCTTCCATAGCTTCCTTAAAGTAAGAAGCGACTGGCGTGGTGGCTCATACCTATAATCCCAGCACTTTGGGAGGCCAAGGCTGGCAGATCACAAGGTCAGCAGTTTGAGACCAGCCTGGCCAATATGGTGAAACCCTGTCTACTAAAAACACAAAAATTAGCCAGGTATGGTGGCAGGCACCTGTAGCCCCAGCTACTCAGGAGGCTGAGACAGGAAAATCACTTGAGCCTGGGCAGAGGTTGCAGGTTGCAGTGAGATGAGACTGCGCCACTGCACTCCAGCCTGGGTGACAGAACAAGACTCCATCTCAAAAAAAAAAAAAAAAAGATAAGTAACCATCTATGGGTTTATAAATTTGATATGATAATCAGAGGTCTTTGGAATTCTCTATTATGAGAAACATGGATTCAGCTGTAGGCTTTGGACAGGATGGCAGCTCCGGCTCTGCAGCAAGAGCTGAGAATGTGCTGGCTTGATACACTGATGCTCAAGAAAACAAGCTGGGCATGGTGGCTTACATCTGTAATCCCAGCACTTTGAGAGGCCGAGGCAGGCAGATCACAAGGTCAGGAGATCAAGACCATCCTGGCCAATGTGGTAAAACCCTGTCTCTACTAAAATATAAAAAATTAGCTGGGTGTGGTGGTGCGCATCTGTAGCCCCACCTATTCAGGAGGCTGAGGCAAGGGAATCACTTGAACCTAGGAGGTAAAGGTTGCAGTGAGCCGAGATCACACCACTACACTCCAGCCTGGCGACAGAGCAAGACTCTGTCTCAAAAAGAGAAAATATAAAAAGTCCATTTTAAAAAAGGTTTACTACAACTAAAAATAAGTACAAATTCTGATAAAATATTTCACAAAGCTACATATTACAAGTTTACAAGTTATTCAGAGGATGCCTTTATTGCATGCTGGGAAGATAATTCTGTCTCATATGACAGAATTAAGCTAACTAAGGCAGTAATTCTGATAATGCCCTGGCTCTAAGCAACACTGGATACTTTCCTGTACAAAGTGACAATGCTGATTCATTCCCTCAGGAATAACACAGCCTCATCACACCTCACCCTCAAAAAAGCCTTAGCAATCCAAAGCTACTCTGGCAACTGTGAACTTCCCTCTATCGCTTTGGTCACTCAGAAAGATCATCGTGATATCGCTAAATAACAAAGAACTTGCAGAAGCAGAATTAGTTATCCTTCCATCCCAAGTGGGTCACCAGCAAAATGACTTTAAACACGTCCTAAGGAGATATAATTATCTCCTTTATATTCCTCCGCTATTTCAGTGGCTCTCAAACTTTATAGAGTATCAGATTCATCTGTAGACCGAGACCATGTTAGCTTAAATGGTAGACTCCACAGGGACCCTGATGCCCACCAGCGTCCTCCAGGTGCCAGCCAAAGCCCAAGTGCCCTTTTAAGGCAGGGGTCCCCAACCCACCCCCCAGCCATGGACCAGTATCAGTCACCAGTATTGGTCTGTGGCCTGTCAGGAACTGGGCTGCAGAGCAGGAGGTGAACAGCGGGCAAGCCAGCATCAGTACTGCCTGAGCTACATCTCCTGTCAGATCAGCAGGGACATTAGATTCTCCTAGGAGCGTGAACCCTACTGTGAACTGCTCATGCAAGGGATCTAGGTTGTGTGTTCCTTATGAGAATCTAATGCCTGGATGATCTCAGGTGGAACAATTTAATCCCAAAACCATTATCTCCCTACTACCCCAGTTTGTGGAAAAATTGTCTTCCACAAAACCTGGTCCTTGGTGCCAAAAACATTGGGGACCACTGCTTTAAGGGCTCAGAAGAATGAAGAATAGAGTGGGTCCTCATTATTCTTAAAAATATATATATATCAGAGTACTTGGAAGACAGTGACTTTTCTGTTAATTGCTTTAATTTGTTCTCTAATCTCTTAATTCTAAGGGAACATATAATATGGTATATAATAGAATGCAAAGAAAACATACCAGTCTGAATGTTTGGTGTTATTAATTTAAAAAAATACATACCTTTCTTAAACACAAAAAAACTAAAACAAACATTTTATGTATTTACTAAAAAGTTGTTATAATTCAGAATATCTCAAGACATGTATAAGCATCAAAATAACAAATCAGGCCAGGCTCATGTAAAGTGCCAGCAAAGCACGGTATTGCATGACATCCCTGCTCTTCTCAGAAAGGACACGGTGAACCCTCCCCCAAAACAATGTAAATACATGGAGCTGCATCCAATGTGTATTAATATTTATATGTATGCTTTGATGAGTTCTAAAAGTACCCCATTATAGGTGCTTATAGGCAAGTAGAACATGAAATGTTATCCTGTCTAATCTGGATACATAAGTCCCTAAATTAAACTTCTAAAAAAAAAAAACCTGACAGCTTAACTACACATCTCAGGAAATCACCTCTATACGGGTGAGTCACTAGAGTACATTTTGCTATAGGATACTCTAGAGGCCATTACAACATATAAAAATAGGTAAATAATCCTAAAGGTCTGAGTTAAATCTAAAGCAAGGTTATATTACATTCTGTCTTTAAATCTGGCTACAGCAAAGTACAGAAAATGAATGGTGAATTCATAAATAATTCTATAGCTAGACTGCTATAAGGCACAAGAAGACTATCATCCACAGACTCATGCAAAAATAAAAGAGAAAAGAAAGGTAGATTCTTAACAAACAAAAAAAATTTCCAACAAATTTGCATATTATTTTTCATATATAAAAGTGAATTTATGATGTTAATCTACCATATGGGAGGAAATTAAGTCACAGTTCACTTACATCATTTACCAATTAACTTCAAGTACCAAATAGAATTTCTGTAAACCTAAATCTCTTTACTAAGGCATAGCTCAAGCATTACCTAAACATTCCCTACAGGGGCTTTCTGTGCAGTGGTGTCAGAGCTGTTCCATATTAAACAGTCTCAACCATTCCTTATATTTCCAAATTCAGTGATGACTTCTTATATGGTGAGATGTTAACAGTGAGAAAAAATGTAATGGTTGAAATAAGAGAGAAGTTCATGTTACCCCTATTAGGAGATTTTAAAATGAAAGAGCAGGAGGAGCTGGGCATGGAGGAGGAAGGGAAGCTATGGCCTCTGAAGAGGATTAAGTGATGACCTACGTAAAGTGAAGAACACTTAGCATTAATTCTTATAATTTCTCTTTTTTTATTTAAAACTTTAGGGCTAATATAACTTCTAAATCTTTCTGCACACTTTCACTTTTAATTACCCTTGTCTAGTAACACACCAACATATTACTTTTAAAAAGAACTTGAACACATTTTCCAAATATCACGTGCCTCAAGGGATATATTGATAATTTTTAGTTAGATTACATTAACATGCACTATCACTAAAATACACATATACACATCTCAAAAGAACATTACGGCTCTGGAAGCACCCTGAGTTTATAAAGACCCTTAGTCATTCTAAAATGTACAAAGGAAATATGTGTTCTGGAAAAATTAAGTTTACTCACTTGTATTGATCAGAAATTGATTGGACACACCAGGATGATCTACATCATGTATTGCACTGGCAAAAATTGCTGCGAGAATCTCCAAATCTGTAAACACAGCCTGGAAAATCAGACAATATAGATAATATTACTATTGTACAATGATAACAAAAGTATAAACCAATGAGAAATAACTCTAGAATTTAAATGGAAAACAAAATGAAGCTTCATGTGTTATCAAAATGTGTCAAGAGAGTCTGAGATACTTATGAACTTCTAAAGTATAAGCTTGGAAGAAAATATTTTATCTAATTTTATTACATATCATGATCAAATCTTTTCCATTCACTGTATTTTTTAAAATATTATTTTAAAACTATCAAATTATATTTAAAGAAAATAAATTCATTTTCTAAGTAAGATGCCTAAGAATATTCTGAAAATGTACATAAAATTAATAACGACATGAGCAATTCTTTTCTTTTCTCTCATCGAAACTAGGGATTCTCAACTTCACAACTTTTGAGCCAGATAACTCTTTACATGGCAGGCTGTCTTGTGCGTTGTAGGATTTTTAGCAGAACTCCTGGCCTCTACCAACAAAATGCCAGTATTATGTACAACTAAAAATGCCTCCAGACATCACCGAATATCCCTGGTGCTGGGAAGAGAGAAAGAAAGGGGAAGAGAAACCATCTCCAGTTGAGCATCACTCACCTACATGATGAGGTATTAACATAATTTTATAATAAAAACTGAATTATAAAATACATTTCTTAAAAATTAAGAAAATCAAATTGCTTTACTAAACAACTAATGAAACAACTTCTTAGGATTTAGAAAAATTAAAGAAGTGTTTCCTTCTAATAAATTCCATGAAAAAAATCAATGTATTGCTTATGTCTTATAAAACAGTCATTCTTTGACCTATAAATAAAAGCCATCAGACTCCATTTCCAGAAAACAAATTAACAAAAAATGAATAAGCTAAATTTGCTTTATGAAACATCCAGTGGATCATTTCAAAGAAGCAATATCACAAACAGATCAATCACTAAATCTGTGACCAACTTTCATAAGCAAAATCATTCAAAGACTTGACTATTAACCCATAGCATTTTCTCCCTATAAGTCAATAAATTATAATTCCAGTGAATCCAATTATTTTCTCTACTGAAAACCCTTCAGTATAAAAGCTTAATAGACTTTTATGAGTGGCAAGTTAGTGTTCTTGAAATTTCAGAAGACAAATTTACCTCCAAAGCAGGTGTAGATAATAGCACATGAGTAGACTGGACAACATCTGCAGCATGGATATTGTTGTGATAGGCCACATCAGCATGGTAATGGTCTTCGAGAGTCATAAGATATGTAATTAAAGTATCTACTGGAATTTTAAATGTTTTTAATAAATCCCGTTCCTGTAGGAAAAAAAAATCATGTTAGCATTTTTGTCTTTATGTAAAAAATTTCTCCATAGAGTATGTTAACAAAAATCGTACACCAGTGTTGCCAATGGATAGCCTGGAAACGACAACTGTACTCTCACATGTCTAGTGAGGGAAATGTGAACCTCTGGGAAGGTCCAGGGACTTTGGGACAAAACCAGAGTTGGGTTTTCCTTCTGGAACCCAACAATACTACACCCTAGCTGTATGGTGTCAGGATAGGTGCCAACTCTAAAAGTTTCTGTGCCCCATTACAGAGGCAGCTCCTGGCAAGCATTATTAACTCAACCACTACATCTCACCAATTGAAACCCAAGCGCCCTCTCTAGGGCTGGAGTTTCCCATTCCAGTCCCAAGGTATCTACAACAGCCTCAGTTTCTCATTTAAATCCCACCCTGAGCTGCAGCAAAGGGTGAATAAGAGTGAGAAATGGATATGCAAAAGGAAGCAGGACACAAGAAAGTGACTGAAAAAAAAAACTATAAGGTTAGCCAGGGGGGGCTTTATTCATTTTTTTTAAAGTTAGTACTCCATTCTCTCTGCTAGTCAGATTCACAGAGATGATGTCTAAATTATTATTTTAATGAACTGCTTCATTCAGGCTGTATCACATCTTTTTCTTAAATGCAAAAAAAAATAAAAACAAAAAAAAAGAACGATTGATGTATTTGTGGTTTATCCACAACTCCACCTTTCTGTATCTTGTCCCTTGACAAAGGAGCAAATAAGGATAAAAGTATAAAAATAAGCAAAAGATGGGGAATATTTAAAAAGACAAAATGTGTGCACAAGCTACAGACTGGACGTTAAATTCCTAAATAAAAGAAATGTAATAGAACTCAACCACCTTACCTGAAAAATGGTGTGCATGATAACAGTCAAGGGCCGGTTACCAGACAACTCTGCTATTCTGAAAACGTGAAGACCCCATTTGTTCACATCTTCTAGTTCCTGGAGTAAAAAACAAGATACCAAAAAATTAGAAAGTGGAGTAAAATATGATTCCATGAACACAATCATTTAAAAATTACAGAGTTTAGGTGGCTGGGCGTGGTGGCTCTCACCTATAATCCCAGCACTTTGGGAAGCCAAGGCAAGCAGATCACCTGAGGTCAGGAGCTCGAAACCAGCCTGGCCAACATGGTGAAACCCCATCTCTACTAAAAATACAAAACAGGCATGGTGGTGTGCGTCTGTAGTCCCAGCAACTTGGGAGGCTGAGGCAGGAGAATTGCTTGAACCTGGGAAATGAAGGTTGCAGTGAGCCAAGATTGCACTACTGTACTCCAGCCCCAGCTACAAGGTGAGACTCTGTCTCAAAAAAATATTGAAGACTTTAGTATAAAGATTGTTAGATTTATTTAAAACAATTACTCATTTTACATGTTAACAAACACACCATATAAGCATAGGCAAACTTTAGGCACGTTTACTTATACGTACTGAAAACTGAATAGTATTGCTTAACCTTATGACTTTGACATTACAACATGTTTATGTACTTTAAATATCAATCACAAAGCATTTCTTCAATGGATAAAATCTATTCACAAAACCTTAACTATTCTCCTAAAACCCAGAAGACAGGACAGATTTCTAACTCGTTAAGGCCAAACAACAAAATGAAGATGCAGATAACTGACTCCCAATCCCCTAAAACGTACACACCAAACCACCTGTCTAAGGCACTTTACAAGGAGCTTTATAAAATGTCTTTGTATCTTCAAAAAAAAAACCCAAATTAATAAACTTTCCTATCCATTTAAAAGTGAAAATTTATGGAAGGGCATCATTTAATATTGATGATCATGATCTCTGAAATCATCATACCTTGGCAAGGACATCTTCTTGTTCAGTTTTAACTCCAAACCTTGGGATACTTGAATTAGTCAGACTAGAGCTGTGCATCAATTTCTTGACTCCACTGATCTGAGACATTGGTCTTTTCTTTTTCTCCTTTTCCTTCTGAGTTGGAGATGGAATTTCCACTTCATGTTGCTTATCTTGAGAAATTTAGGAAATGTTCTCTATTATTAATTCTATCTGTTTTTATATCATCACATGCATAACTGGAAGGGTTATAATTGATCATTATATATTCCAGGAAATGTTTCCAGCTACAAATTTTCCTTTTAGAGAGCTCAGTATTTACATTTGAATTGGACTTAATTTCATATCTTCCAACACAAAATTAAGCAAATAAGTCCACTACAAAATAATAACAAATGTATTCCATAGTTACCTCTTTGACACAATGTCCTAATAAACAATATTTCAAGACTTAGCATGACAGCAGACTCAGAGAATACACAACAGGTGGTTATTTCCACTGTTCATCAATTCCATTCCTATTTGAAATTGACTTAGTGAGCTGAAAATTACTCTCTGCCAACTAAGGACTCCAGTTTCAATATGTACTTCGAAATAGTAGAAACTGTATACACAAATGTCATAAAAACAGCAGTATATAAAACTAACAGCTAACTGAAATGGGTAACACTGTGAGAGTTGAAACAGCAGGTTTTGGATGACTTAGATTAATTCTGCTACTTTTAATTTCTGTATTATAGTAAGATAAGGGTTAAATCCCCAGGTTTTTTGGGGAGCATAGAGAATTGTAAATATCTGATAAGTAAATACGCACATAAGCTAATTGTGTACTATAGTAAAAGACATAGATGTCTTCGTACTTTCTTCCACTATTTCAAGGCAGTGATGAACAACAATAACTCATCCTTGTACACAGCACATATTCCAAAGTGTTTAAAAAATATGTTAATTAAATATAACAGCAATTTTGTTTTGAAAGTATATCCAGGATACATTCAATTACTGATCTTTATTTACTGCATTTTCTTTCTGTGGATGAGGTACAAGACTTGTCCCAGGACACCAAACTCAGCCATTATTAGCAAACTTTTATCTAGCATTTGTGTTTTATACACCCACCAGTTTACTAGGCTTGATGTACGCTAGATTGTCAATTCATCAAGGGCAGGAATCATTTCTAATTTATCATTCAACACCTATTGCCCAACAATGGCTGGCATTTAGTAAGAATTTGTTGAATATATGAATAGATCTCTCTATAAAATATATTTTATAGTTTGGTACTATGAAAACACTGGCAATATATAACCTTAACTCGATAATTCCTAAAGTCCTAAATAAAACTAAAAAAATGTACTTTGTGACGTGAAACGCTAAAACTTAGAGGTGTATAGTGTCAAATTTTTAATATGATGAATGAAAACAAATAGAACTTCTAACACTTGTTTGGTTTCCAAAATGAGTTGGCACCCCAATCCTCCTCCAAAAACAAGCAAACAACTGAAGAAAAAGTTTTTAATTGCATGTTGTTATTCTCACCTAAGAATGTGTTTGATATATACTCTGATACTTGATTTCCAGACCGACTCATTTCAGAGAGATGGGTGAGCTCCCGATTAAGCATCCTTTTAAACTGAAAAACAAAAAAGTAAAATGAAGTAATAAAAGAGGAAAGTTTAAGTGAAATGCATATGCATACTGTGAGATACAGGAAGATAAGTCCAAATAATTTTTAAATTGTACTGACAATTTAGATCAGTGCTTTCCAGCAGAACCTTCTTCAATGAGGGAAAAACACCATAATCTGTGCTGCCAATTACAGCCGCTACTAGCCACAGGTGGCTACTAAGCACTTGCAATGTGCCTAGAGCAAATAAGAAACCAGATCTTAGATTTTATATAATTTCAACTATTTTTAATTTAAATAATCACATGTGGTTCATGGCTACCATATTGACCAGCACAAATTTAGACACTCAAGGACTGAAGGGAAATTCAGGAGAAATAAGGAAAGAAAGGGAATCAAAAATTAAGATGTATTATTAGTTATTTAGAGAAGAGAGAAACTAATTTATAGCACATAAAAGTGTTGCCATACAATAAAACATGGAATACTTTCATCAATTAATTTATCATTAGCAGAAATGAATATATATACTGACCAAGAGATTAAAAATTAGTCTTTTACTCCAAAGCAAAAATAGATTTAAGTACTCTTCCAGACTATGGAGAGGTAAAATTTTTAAATAAATAGTGTATAATGCTTCCTTTTAAAAGTTGTTTTTCAAGTAAGAGTATAACATTTATTAGTTCTCAACATCCACAAAATTTACCAACAGTTTCCCAAGTCACTAAATAGGCAACAGGTCAATTTTTCAATACTCTACTTCACAATTTTTCTAGTGCCTATTTCATGCAAAGAAACACCGGAGTTAACCTACCAGCACCACATAGCATTACCAGTATCCAAAAATCTCAAAGATTTTATGCTTCCCCACCCATCAGCTGTTTCTTAGTATGTCTTTCCTTTGACTCTGAAAATAGCCCAACGAGGCCTTTTAATAAGTCTTTAATATTTGCCTTTATATTCAGAAACAATATATTTTTTCTATACATAGAGTGCTATTAGACACTTGACAAAGTCAGCATTTACTCTAATCATCAGATTAACCTTTAAAATTTGAAATTTCACCATAAACTCTCATTTAAGTGTGAAGGTGAGTGGTGAGTTTATATTTTAGTAATGTTTGAAATGTAATTCTTACTTAGTATTTAATTTATTTATTTAGAATTATTTTTAAAATCTTGCTTCTCTGCATACTTCATACCAAGATGGCCTAACTCTATACAGTTTGTTAAATAACTTCCAAAGTCAATCTTATAGACCATCTAGATTAGGTTTTAACCCAGCATTTAATTGTTATCAAAACAAACAAAAAAACTCAACATTCAACGGACTGCTGGAAGAGAGAAATGTGTATTAGCATTCCAGTGCAGTCAAAGACAAAGAACTGGCATTACCAGGGCAAATTCTGGCTGTTAAATTACTGGTCTAGAGAGCTTATGTCTCAAACTCAGGAACACTAAGTTCACTTTCTTTGCTCACATGTTGTTATAACTTTTTTCTAATTATAAAATGTACATGTGCTATGGAAAATTTAGAAAGCTTATCAAAAAGAGAAAATCATGTAAATCCCCACCGCTGGAAGACAGCCACAGATAATTTGTTAAATTTCCTTCTATGCCATTTTCTACACTTGTACGTGAATACGTGTTTTTAAAACTGGCATCAAGCAGTTTACAGAACATGAGTTACTGCTTGTGTTCACTCAGCATTGTATCTTATAACCTACTGAAAAAAATTAACTTTGGGCCTTCTAAGAATATATGTAGAGACATTTATAATAGTGTTCAAAAATTTTTCTGTCCCTCTTTACAAAGTTAAATTTTCTTGAATAAATTATAGGCTATCAAATAATGTAATGAGCTAATATAGAAAGTGTCTTCTATTTAGCCTGGCACACAATAGATGCTCAGTATTATTTCCTTCTCCCACCTCCCTTTCTGGCACTCAGTCCCTAACCTTTGGGCCTTTTATAGTAATAGCTAATTTTTATCTTTGCAGATCAGACAGATGAAGGATTTGACTATAGTTATGACCATAAAAATAGTTATCTAAATAGTTAGGTCCTCTTTCTCAAATCCCATAAAGACTTTGGACTAGCATTAGTTATGGGAAACCATAGCTGTGTCTCAAAACACAACTAAAATGTCATGCATACACAGGTTTAAAAAAAAATCTTAGGCAAAGCATATTCCAAAGCAAAGAGTCTGCTAAACATGTTAAACACATATTCAATGAAATATTTCTTTGACCTAAAATTGTTCATGTAATGAGCTAAAAGTTGCTCTTAAGAACTATCTGGTCATGACGAAGTCCTTTTTTATAAAAGATGGGGGAAGAGGCAAGGCTTTCACCACTGCTAGAATCTCAGCAGTTGATACAGGAATTGCTGCCCTCCTTGCACTTCTCTGAAGAAAGTGAAACAAGGCAAGCTTCTGGGAGTGATTGATAAAGTTAGGTGAAACCCAGTTATTACAGGTTCATCTTCTAACTTTTACACAACCTAATATAAGGATTATGTTGCCATATGCCCAAGCAGAAAATGTGGATGCTACCTGCAGATACGCTACATATATTATTGGATTTTTCTCTAAAAGAATATAAAGAACGAAGTATAATTTTCCTGGCCGTTTGTTTAAACAATTCACCAAAATAGCCAGTTAGTACACAGAACTGAAGAAAAAATGCCAGTGAAAGGAATCTAAATATTGTACAGACTAGATAAGTAATATACCGCATGTTCCATTTTTATCTTTGTGTCATATACATTATTCCCAGATTATTTTCCAGCTTTTGTTTAAAACACAAAAACATGGATTGACGAAATCCTCCATCACATGTCTACCTCTCTACCAAGGATTATAAGGGACTCAAGGAAGTCAACATTTCATTTCAACATAATTATAAAAGATAACATTAGAAGCAATCACCTCTCTTCCCTAGGGAGACAGTTTAAGGAATTTCCTAAAGATAATTTTCAGAGAGTACATTAAGTTATAACATAAGGGTATTTTCTAAAAGGAATTAACATTGTTTTTTCTTTTTTGCTATCCATATAAAACTTTCAGTCCAGCAAAGCTAAATTAAAAACCACAAAAATTACCATAAGTGCTTTCTTAACTGGTAGTTGATCTTACAAATTGGTTTTGCAGTGCATAGCTAGATGTGCTAAAAAAATGTGCTAGATCATTCAGCAAACATTTAAAAATGTAAGTGATATTTCTTTCATCTAAAAATAATTATATTTACTAAGATAACTATCTAAAATTACCAAAGGGGGAAGGACTGATTTAAAGCTAATATAGTGTATTCTTCTGGGAATCCCATCACATTTCTCAATTAATAGAGAAGGGACAAAATATAAAACTGCTTTTTGAAAAGAACTGACTGCAAAATGCAGAACCATTTAATTAAGCATTTAGTTTATTTTTTTAAAGTGACTTCTGAATATTTTCCATTGATGAATTTCTAATTGTTTTTGGCCTGAAGAGTCTGAAAACAATACACAGATTTAGGGTTGCAACTAAGAAAAGAGGGGAGGATTTCTAAGTGAATGCTTTTGAATCCTTTGTTCTCATTATACATCAGAATGTCTGTGTATAGCAGTTAAAGGCATAAAGGAAAGTGAAAATGCAATCGAATCTGAATATTGTATTTTGCTTTTCAGAACTGCAATTCTTCAATTTACATTCTGCATTTGAGACTGTTTAGGAAGCAAACTAAAATAATAAAATTAAAATGTTCTTAAATGTAATCTCCTATACTTCTACATCATGCCAGTGTGCTACTGGGTATATTATATATCCTCCCAATATATATTTAAAGAGGTGGTATGGGACCAAAAATTTAAAAAAATTGCTTATTTTTTTCCTGACAATATTCTGCTAAAAAATCATTTGAACATGCTGCACTGTGATGCACTACAAGTTTGGTATATCGGTATTCAAAGTTATTTAAACAAGTACTCCACTGACTGCATGAAAATAAATCCTTCAAAATACTTAAAACCAAATATATCTGTATTTGCCATTTTTACATATTTTTAAAGGTACAGTATTAAACATAAAGCTGTCCAGGAAAAATCTTCCTCAAAGAAAAAAGTACTAAAATTCTATATTTAGATTCTTGGCAGTATTGTTCATAATCATAATACAAATGGGAAGCCTTTCAAAAATACATCAATTGTGAGCTGGCTAAAAGCTAAGAGCTGAATTCTGGGGATTAGTGAGGACTTCTTATATTACTCTCTACACTTTTCTGTATTTCTGAAGGTTTTTACCCAAGAAATGGCTAACAAAATTCAATAATGAAAGTCTATATATTTTAAAAACATTTTAAAAAATCTGAATCATCCACAGATTTAAAGGGAGGTAAAGAATCATGACTACTTGGACAACTGATACTGAAATATGTTTTCTAATTTTTTTAGAATTCAAGTAATCAAAACAAAGGGGAAACTGTCCTTCAAAAAGAGAGAAACAAAGCCAATGACAAATACTCCAATCTGAAAATCCTCATAGTAACAAAAAATCAGTCTTTTAAAATGCGTTGTGATTGGCTCAAATATCCAAGTATAAACTTCAATCTATGAAGTGATGCTTCATTTAGGACTGAATAAGGTTTTTCTACCTCCTGCTTCTATTGTGGAGACAGGACGACAATGCTAATGTTATCACAGGGCATGCAAAAAGCCTGCTAAGCATGGACAATATCTAATTAAATTGTTTATTAATTCATTTCTTGAGATACATAAAACTAACAGTGTAATAAAAATTTTGTTCGGTTTTGCAAGTATAATAATCAAGTTTTTATTCTAATAAAATATCACTTAAATCATAAGTAATGTCAATATTTAATATCATCTAGAGCTTTATAGCTAAAGGTGCAAAAAACCTATTCCTCATCAGATTCAAGTAGTACAGATTTTTAGAAACAGCCACATATTAATTTTATAAACCTTATATGTAATATACCAACTGAAATCCATAAATCAGTATAAGTAATTTCAC